ATCATCATCATCATCATCATCATCATCATCATCATCATCATCATCATCATCACAATAATAATTTTTTTTATTTACAGCCGAAAGACCTGAATAGAAAACACATAAACCCCTTTAATGGATGATAAATGCAAGAGCCAGTAGTTAGGTTGTTAATAGTAGTCAAGGTGCCAGACTAAGAGCAGGGAAACTATGTTCTTGTCCTCCCTTAGGCACAGAAGCCAGCTGGGTGAAAAAGTGAATGATTAAATGCCACCTTCAGTTGTTTTACCACTAATGATAATATTTACAATGGCCCAAGAACATGTATATGTATATCGATGTATATAAATCAAACAAGAAATTATAGTACAAACATCTTCAACATTCATTCTCCCATTTCATGAACCATTAAAAGTGTTTAAAAAAATGACTGCCTTCACTCTCATTACCATCAATTATGCTGTGATATATCAACACCTACAACAAATTTTCCCTGTAACACTCTTTGGAAGCAAAAGATGGACTATGAAGAAGCAGGATAAGAAAGCATAATGAAATTTTAAAACTTTACTGTGGAGAAGACTCCCAGGAATACCATGGATAGCCAAATAAAGGGATTATAGAATAAATCAGCCCAGAGTTCTCACTCGAGGCACAAATGACCAAATTACCATATTTTGGATACATTATTTGAAGACCCAGCTCTATAAAGAAGTCCATCATGCTGGGAAAGGTGGAAAGAAAGAGAAAGAGGACAACCAGCAGCAAGGTGGATGGACTGACATACAGCAGCAATGAGTGCACCATTGGAAGACTTAAAAAGCCAGGGTAGGGACAGATTATCCTGGAGAAGGTCTGCTATATGTGGTCGCTAAGATATTGCCTTGATGGTGCATAATCGATCCATCCATCCATCCCTGATAATTAGGGTTTTCTGAAGTTCTTTCATTTCCATATACTGTAGTCAATAGCCCCAATATTTTTCAGTAAATTCCACTGCCACTTTGCTGGATTGTCACTGATGAACCAAAACCAACTAATGCCACCTTTAGAAAAAGGCCCCAGCCACGAAGAATATTTTAACTGTTTCCTAATTCTTTAAACTCACAAATATTATTTCTGATTTGTGCAGCTTCCCCTTCCCCCTATGCCTGTTAATCCTGATGTTTGGAAAGAAAGTAGCTTCTGCAAGCACTGGGCCATGGCATAATGGAGTGTGTCATTATGGCCATCAAGGCATTCATGCAGCTCAACTCAGGGTCACACTATTAACTCAGAGTGAAAGGGCTCATTATGCAGAAGCATTTCTTCAGAAAGAAAGGAGAGAGGATCAAAATCAAATCATACCCAGTCCCTCTACTTCAAGTGCTGTTAGTTGGTGCATTCCAAGGCGGGTAATAAGGACATAATCAGATGACATTAAGCAAAGGGAGATAGAGAATGAATTAAAAAAAAAATCTTTCAAAGCCCAATTAGCCTCTAGTGCAGGGACAAGCCACTCTAGTCAGTATTTAGATGATCTACAGGTCAAATGGCTGAAGTTCATCTTTTTCTATTACAGCTGTGACATTAAAACCTGGCACATTCCTCCCATGCAGCTTTTGAAAAGCAGTGTATTTTCTCTGCAACTCTAACAGGAAAAAGAAAAGTAGAGAGAGGAGAGGTATGCTGAATCTATTTTCCCTGAGCAAGAGTACATACAACAACAGATTTTCTTAATTTTATTAGTTGACATAATTTATTCTTCTTGAAACAGTCAGTGCCAATGAAGGCATATCTGTCTATTCAGGAACTTTTCTTTATTCACTGCATACATTTTTATCATAGGTTTACAAGCACATAGCTAAGTGCTTGCAGAGTTTTCCTTCCTACCATCTTCATGATCTCTGGCTGTTTTGTACTTACAGGATAGCCGTGACCTGCTACCTTCACTCTTATCACCTTCTTTTCCTTTGCAGGGTTTTTATGTAGGAACTCCAGTAATATTGCTGGGGTGAAGTGTGCACAAACAGACAAATATTTGTTGTGCAAGAAATTGCAGTAGGCTTTACCATGCAAAAGGAAAACTTGTACAAACGTGAAAAAGTATGATGAATATTAAGGAGAGTATATGGACAACCAATTATGCCTCTAATGTAAGAACAAGAAGAAAGAAAGAATCAACAAAAGGAGATTGCTTGCGTCTATTCTGCACTATGTTCTAGAGTGAGTTTTGTTAATCTTGGTGTTCTATTTTCTGGTCACATAAATCTATATAAGGAAAGGAAATATACTTTTTAGACACCTAATCAACTGATGACAATTTTGATGACTTACAATATAGTCATTAAAAATCATAGCTCAGGATAGTCATCCTTTTAAAGAAAATCCTTAGTAGGTCACTCCCAAACATGGATTGTTCCAAATGTTGTCCTAGCAAGTTTCTTGTTGAGAAATTGGCCAGAAGCCCAGCATCCATCTGACTCAAGTCAAAAGAGGAGCTTATTGGTCTTAAGGGAATACAAAGTGCTAAATATTAATGATCTTTAGTTGTTTAATTAAACAGTTTGACTAGAATCCTGTTAATTTCTGCTGAAGTTAATACAAGAAACATACAAGACTATCAAACTTGACAGTAGATATGGTAGGACAACCCTGACAGATTAGCTTGCTTCAAATTCAATAGTTATTTATTGCATACAACACATTTGTATTACTACTGTATTTTTCTCCATAAAACCACTTCCTTGTATCTACGGTTGTTAACAGACGTGGCATCAAATCTGTTCAGGAAGTGAACTGAGTGCCCTGTCAATCCATCTGATGGAATGGACAAATGCTTCCTATCATGCTACTCCTAGATGCTCCTGATTCAATGGCAAGGTTTGGGAGTGAGGGTCCTATTTGCTTCTTGCTCAAATCTGAAGCAAGATCTGGTAATAATCTTTGCTTTGGTTTCTCTGGGCCACGCAAATGCTGAAGAAGGCTGTATGATGGATTTTGACTTACTCTCCTAATCTCAGATTACATGTGTCTGGCCAATGGACTACTGTATGTGTGAGTCCCAAATTTCCCTCAATAATTGCAGGGGCAACAATTTGAGATCCATGAGCTACTCTGAAGCCTTTTGGAACTTCCTGGATGTGCAGGTGTCCTTCTGACTACACATGTTCCACCAGGAGAAATGCAGGATGGAGCGAGCAATCTCCTCCCCTTAGCTGTGTATGTTAGAGATAGGTTATGCAAGGCAGGTAGAAGCAGTTCCTTCACCAAAGTAGCTGGCATATTTGCTCTTTCTACGACCCACTGGCATCTCCTCAACTTTTGCCCGGCTATCTCTCCTCTGCACTGCACTGATGATCTGAGTTATTCTTCTTTCTACCTATTTGTACTCTGGTTACTTCTTCCCCTTGTTTGTTTTGGTTTTGCAAAAGAAGTTGCTTCTTCCTCCCTCTCAGCAAATCCTCAGATGGAAAGGAGGAGTGTGTACATGAGGATGTGTTGATTTGGGGGTGCATGAGGGAAAATGTGTGCATGGGAGAAGGATTATACATGCAGCAACCACATGTCCTTTATTATAAAGGACACCCCTTTGTTTCAGAAAGCTGTCCTTTAGATTTATTCAATTTAATTATTTATTTTCTTGATTTTGCTCTTGAATTTTTCTTTGTAAAGCAAAGTTATAAACATAAACACATTTTTTAAAATCCTTATGTACCTCTTTCAGATTTGCCCCTTTTTCAGGTTTGACCTTTCTTTTTTCCAAGAAAATATGCTCATTGTGATTCTACAAGATGCTAATCTAAAACCAAACAAACTACATAATGGCTTAGCACAGTGAATGAATCCAGTCTCCTCCATGATGAACACAGATAGGTGTTTTAGTGGTCTGTATATTGTGGGAACACTGCAAAGGCCAGCTTCTGCTCTTACATAGATCTCTCACTGCCTGTTCAAGATTGCAGAGCCATCTTGAGTTCCCTCTGTATAGAAAGATAGAAGGAGAATTCAAAATAATTTAGAAATGCAGAGGCAAAACAGAGCAGCATATGCAAAATCTTCAGCCCTTCATCTTTTTATTTGTTTCGTGTACCAGCATGATTATGCGTGTATGTCTGTGTTTCATGACTGTAATAAAGTTCTACAGGCACTTTTATTACTCCATTTCTTTCCTCCCTAACCCTCAAATCCCTCACTAAGTAATTATTACAACAGGGCAGAGCAGGCACATTTAAACGACAGTCACAACTGTTCGAGTAGATCACACAAATGCACAGAGGAGAAGGCTATCAAGGGCCACTGCTATGATCTCCAAAGGATATAGCTTCCCAGGACCAATGCTGGGGATCTGGGCAGGAAGATCCTCTTAACCGAGAAGTCTTGCTTATAAACTTCCAAATGAATCTGTTTGGCCACTGTAGGGACAGAATGTCAGACTAGGTGGATACAGTATTTGATCTGATCCAGTTGTCTAATAGGCATACACGCAGTTGCAAATTGTGTACATGTATCTTTTTTACCGTTGACTTCAATTCTTCATTGAAAGCACAGCACGCTGTGGTGTGCAAAAGATAGTCTTTTTTTTCATCATACTTCATTGATCAGTGTCTTGTATGCCTGATAAAAAAAAGCAGATCCAGCAAGGTCTCAGATTCCTCCATTCTCTCTGCCATCGAAGCTGTTTTGATGAATTGGAAGAACGATTTCAGCAAGATGAGTTTAGTCATGTTGTTTTTACCTCCGATGCCGTCATAAATGTAAAAAGCCATTATGAAGATCACTAATCAGAGGCATGACCTAAACAGCAATCAGTCATTCCTGACATATCCCAAACCTGTGTCTAGGTAAGCATGCCATCTTAAAAGGCATTAGTTCTTCCATTAACATAACAATTCTTAAGTAAATTCATAACAATTATGTGGCAGAAAACAAAATGCATTCTCTCCCATGATCGGCTGCTTTCACACTGATTGGATATTTTGTGTAACCATGGCTTATTGAATAAGATACAACATCTGGGTTCACATATAATACTAAACCATAAATCTTGATTTACAATTGACAATAGATTGATATGCCAAAACTAACCAAATAACATCAGTTAGGTTAGAATGATGTCTGAACTCAGCAAATGTATAATAAATATTCCTATGTTAAAGGCAACAGCTTTAAATACAAATGGAAAATAAAAAACAGGTGTTTTAAAAATATTCAACTCTGCAGAGCTTTCCCCATAATATTGCAGTGATGCCAGAAGCTACATGTTAAAATGTTCCTTTCTGTATAAATGGAAAAAGTCCATGGGGCTGGTCCCAGATAAAGCATGGCAAGCAATAGGGCCAGAACAATTCCAAAAGCTTCACTGCACAGTCCTAGGCTGAGTCCAGCCCCCCGCTCAGGGCAGAAACCCCAATTCAAGCACCCAGACAAATACTGTCTCACCTCTGTTTGAACACATCCACTTGTTACAGATTTGACTATTGGGTCTTATGCTTTAACAGAATGCTCCAAGGGACACAGCACAGAGAGTCTTTGTTACCCTACAAAAGCTTTATTAATTACAATTGGTTGTGTCACATGCATACACACACACAAACACACATTTGTACTCATGTATATTGCTGCTCCCTGGCCGGGTGATGCACAGGGATTTGGGAAGAAAGGAGCACTTTGTGGATAATAGTTGCATGTGCGAGTGGGAGTCTGTCTAGCCCTTTCTTTTATTCCTTTCCCAACCACATTCCATCAGCATTCCATCATGTGTCACCTCAGCGGTCCATTGGTTGACCTGTTAGGTTGTTGGGTCAAGTGTGACTTGCTACATGGCAGTTAACTTTCTTATAGCTCTTCAGCTTGCTTGATCTTGGATGCATTTTTCTCTAGGATCAAATGTTAGGAATTCCCAACATTTTAGTTCTTGTAAAACAATGAAGGGGAGCCTGCTCTTTGTCTGGGTAATCCGTTCTACGTTCAACTGTTTTTACTGTTAGGAAGTTTATTTCTGTCACTCAGCTGGAATCTGCCTTCCTGTAATTTCAATCTATTACTAGACAACCCTGTGATCCATTGGGTCCTCTTTTGAGAGCAAGGTAGTGCAGTCTGATGTGGCCAGAATGAACATTAAATTTTAGGCTGACCATATTTTTTTTACCCCAATGCTGGACGGTCCCGTGATCATCTGAGAAGAGTATATATCATAAATATAAAAATAATTGTAGTGGCAAATGAACTTCAATAATAAGTCAATATTTACTTACCGAAACAGATAAACAGAATGACCATGGGTGGACAAAAAAGCAGTGGGAGTGGGAGCAACTTTTGACTTCCTGCTGACTTCCCATTGACTTTGCTTGTGGGAAGCTGGCAGGAAGCATCAGAAATCATGATCATGTGACCACAGGGACGTTGCAACAGCCACAACTTTGTGAATAAAACTGGTGTGAACATCATAGAAATTTCAATTCCACAGGAGTAATGGATCCCAGATTTTTTACGCAGTCTTTAAGTTAGCAGATTTCTTGATTCAACAATCATTGTGGTATAATGCACTGTTTGGGCTAACTTGAGGGTGCAAACAGATAAACACAATGAGTGTTTTAATAGTATATAGATTCTATGTTCTATAGTCTGGAATGTGAGAGAAGAGGTTCTGGCCTCCTTCAGTGTGACATTCTTTCAGGAACTTGAAGAGTGTTATCATATTCCCTCTCAGGCATCTTTATTCAAGGCTAAACCATAACAATTTCCTTCAATATTTCTACAGGGGACTTAATTTCTAGTCTCTGATTATCCTTGTCCTTCTTTCAACTGTAGGGTGCTAACTATCCCACCCAATTCTGGGACATCTGCTAAGGTGATAAGCATTCCCACCACCCAGCAGCATTCGTGATAAACTGCAATAATATAAAAATGACATGTTTGTTATGGCATAACAGCTGATGCAATACATAAGTTGCATCATTTGCTTGGTGTCATCATTCACATGTAATAATTTGACCCCTTGCCCTCCTGCAGATACCTGTCTCCACCACTTTATCCAAGTCATTAATAAAAATATTGAAGAGCGAAGAGGATTGATTCTTGCAGCATCCCACTTGATACCTCTTTCCAGTTTTGATGAGTATGATTTATGAGCCAATTATGAATCCACTTAATTTTCATGCCATTTAATACATTCTTAACTAGCTTGCTAATCAGCATGTTGTGAATATTTTGTCAAATGTTTTGCTGAGAAGATATATTACGTCTACAGCATTCTTACAATCTATTAAGGAACCTGATTTTTTTTAAAAAAATGAAGTAAGATTAGCTTGACAAGACTTACTTTTTAAAAATCCATATTGACTATTGGTAAGGACTACATTATTTTCAAAGTGTGCAGATGAATCTGTTTATGATCTGGTTTATAATCTTCCCATATATCAATGTCAGACTAACTTCTTTGTAGCTTGCTGGATCTTTTTTTTTTTTCCTTTCTCAAGATAGGGACAATATTTGCTCTCTTCCAGTCATTTGGCATTTCACTAATTCTCCAGGTTTCCTCAGACTCAATACAGAAGGATTTGATCAGACCATCAGCTATTTTCTCCTATAGCCTCAGCTGCAATTCATCTGGAGATTTACTCTTTCAGAGTAAATAGATATCCCCTGATCAAACATCTCAAGCTTTAATTGTGCCCTTTACAATTCCCTCATGGAACACATACTTTTTTGCTGGAGAAGCAAAATAAGTATTGGTATGTGCTGGTTTTTGCTTTCAGTCCTTCAATAAGCATTTTGTGTAAACATACTGACTTCTACTGCTATATCTGTTTCTCTCATTGGATTTTTTTTGCAGTTTTAGTACTTTCTAACCCTTTTTAAAGCTCCTTTCCCATTAGTTTCTCCTTCCTTAGGAACCTAATTATCATTTTTCCCAGCTTATTATAATCAATTTTTTTGAAGTCCCAAATACATACCTGACTACTCTCAGTTTTAGCCCAGAACTGTTAGATTGGAAAAAAAAATGTTAAACAGATAAATAAATAATTTGTTTCCCTTAAAATAAAACTCCATCATTAGATGGTCAACTTCTGCCAATGTTTCCACTATTTATTTATATATTTTGATTTATATTCCCACCTTTAGTTTGTACAACTCAAAACAGCCTATATAATATTTCTTCCTCCTATTTTCCCCAGAACAACAATTCTGTGTAAACAGAAATAAAGTTGGCAAAAGTATGCAAGAACAGTTAGCAGAGAAAAGAGACAGGAAATGACAGCTCTGGGAATGGAAGAGACTTGAAATAACCCTGCCTTTATTCTGTTTGGCGTAACAGGGGACAAAAGGAAATTCTGGCAGGTTTTCAAATGTTGCTATTATACCCTACAACATAAATTAGAGTTCCAGTAGTCCTTGTGGGGTTCATTTGTCCCTTGCCTTTGAACAACTGGCACCCTGTGAGGTGGGTGGGGCTGAGAAAGTGACCGGCCCAAACTCACCTTGCCAGCTTCCCTGCCTAAAAGAAGACTAGAACTCATGGTCTCCCCATTTCCAGTCGAGCACCTACACTGCTGCACCGAACTGGCTCACTCTACTTCTCTTTCCTCAATAAAGTCATCCTTATTGATTAGTGTCAAGTCCAGATTTTTGTGCCTTTGTCAGCAAGAAAAGTCAGGGACTTCTTGGAATGATCATGCTTAGCAGGGTTTGTTTCCCCACAGACCTCGGGTGATGTCAGTCCTTTAAGAAAGGCCGGGTCTGGAAACTTGACTGTACAAGTAATACTGGAACTCCATTTTATTGATATAGGCTATAATACAGAATCTTGAAAGCTTGGCAGCACTGTCCCTCTTCTATTCTAGGCAGTTAAGGCAGACTTATTTGGGCTTTCTTTCTAATGTTTCCTTTCTGCCCTGGACTTATATCGTGTTTTGCTAACAACTTCTCTAAAGTCATCTCTATTTGTCCTCTACAGGTAATTAAAGCCACCCATCACTAT